ATCAATGAGGTATGCAAAGTTTTAGAAAATAGACATCGAATCATATGAAAACATATCGATACATACCTTCAAGAAGGGGTCGGACGGAATATGCACCGCAAAGCCGTCGTCGCGATGCCGTCATCAGTGCTTTGGCGACTCGGAACCCTGGCCGCAAGGGAGCATGAAGATGACAACGAAGAGAAGCATGACGCACGTGCCTAACAACCGAAAAAATGGGTCGGCTAGGGCATCATCAAATTCAGCAAGGGAGACCCATTGGGCTGCTGTCTCAGGCTAGAAGGAGGCAGCCGCAAGCGAGGAAGAAAGCCGGTGAGGACTGGGCCTGCGGCAAGGCTTAAATCGCCGGGGAGAAGGGAGGATAGGGCCAGCAGCCTTCGGCACCAAGGCATGAAATAAAGGAGCTCGAGAAGAGGGAAACCGGGCTCAGTAGCGTGAAGAGGAGACGTTGCCATGAAGAGGGAGGTCGACGAGGCTTGCCGACGGCGGGTTGGAAGGTCGGCTGTAAGGAGGGAAGTCGGGCTTCGCGGACTGATCTTCGGCTGAGGAGGAAGGGATGGCGGCGAGCGGTGCTGGCGTGGAGGGATGTCCAATAGCAAGGCCTGTGGCGTGAGGAGCGGCGAGGGAGAAGGTTGCACGGCTAGGGTTCACAAATGAGGGAGGTGGTGGCTCTGAGTCGCGATCCATAAGGGAGAGGTGGGAAGTGATATTATATAAGGTAACATAATAATAATAATAACTATTAATTTAATAATTTCCATCCCGCGCATTTTTAGCCCAGACACACCATCATTTTGAAATGAAGGTTCCCCCTTAGGTAAAATCAACTTTCCGGAAGTACTGTGTGGTCTGTTTCGTTGTTTGGGGTCATCTGGACAACTTTATTGATGATCAGACCAATTCGACCTAATTTCGCGCTCGACGCAACAAATAATATTTGTCGACCCAATAAATATTGTCCGATGCGTGAAATGCCGACCAGCCTTCCCGTAGGCAAAAGCCATAGCCTAGCAGAATGACCTTGGCTTTGTGCCCCTCAACACACGCCTAAATGTCCCGGGTGGGTGTTTGAACTACAGGATGTTACGGAATGATCGTAAACTATCCCGAGTCATGCAAGTGGACACCCTACACTCGTGACATCAAAAATTGATGCCAACATAATCCTTTTGAAACCTCATTGGTGTCTTCACATAGGCCCCGATTGTGGATAGGTCACAGCCCCTTCGGGATACGGTAATTCACCATATGCCGTTATGACTTAATTATGCATTATAAGCATAGTGTGGACCATATGAGTTGATTTAATTATTTTATATGCTTTGTATGCCGATGAGGCAGTACCTATTTGGGATGTGAGAGATTCACTTCATGCCCTGCTACTTAGTAAGAGCTTTGAAAGCATCATGATGTTTCCATGAAATAATCATCCATTTGCTGACCTAGTTATCGGTCCTGACAATGTAAGCAAGACTCTTTTTATCAAGAGTATGTTTGGGCATCCCCTAAGATGTAATTAACCAGAGAGATATGTTCCTTTGGGAGTGCTCTTGACCCTAGAACAAAAATGTTCTTTTTGGTTTTATGGTTATTGGTGGCATGTTTAAGAATTTTCTTCGTGGATACCGTGTTTCGAGGTATTTCGATCCTATCTTGTTCGAACATATATTCTCGATTTATTATATGAGGATTATCTTATACATAAGTCATATATGTTTCTTTTTAAATTTTTTTTATCTATTTTCTTCATATATTTCATATTTTCTGATTCCTCTCATCTTTGGATCATTTATATGATCTCAGAGAGAGATTTATTTGGAATGAAAATTTACATGACTACGATATATACATAATCATTTAAAGAATGAAGATTTACATGACAACGATATATTTAAAGAACAAAAAAAAGTATGAGGGGCCTTGTGACATCAAAGATATCATCAAATTATATTTGGTGGTTTTATGATCATTATCCTAAGATGAGGGAAGAACATTCATCGAGAATATTAACATAAGTCTTAATAGAAATGAACGACATCATAATTGGAGTAAATAATGTGCGTTAATATTATTGTCGAAGTTTAGTGTTAGCATTAAAATTAATTATGTTTGTTGGCCTTATAGAAAATGACAAGCATATATGTCATTGGTGATAATGAGCATCAACATGTTGGGTTCGTCAATCATTAATATTGACGTTGATAGTGTGCATTAGCTTTAACAATAAAGGCATACATTGATATTATTGGCAATAGTAGGCAACAAGCTTATTAGGACCGATCGGAGTCAGTGTAAGCATCATTGGAAGTCATGACATTTTTATTAGCATCAACCATAGTTTTATCTATGACAAGCATTAAACTTGTTTGCAATTACATATGCCAACATTTCTATTGATGGTAGATGGTGACATTTTTGTTATTGATGATCCTTTCTATTAATTTCAATTTCATGCATTGACCTTATTGGTGATTATGAGTGTTGATATTATTGTTGACCATGTGCACTTATCTTATTAGCAATGTATTTTATAGGCAATGGTGTTGATAGTAGCCTGTGACATTGTCGAGAATGACAAGTATAAATATTAGTGTCGCTGGTGTGGATTAGCTTTATTGACAGTGATAATCTTGAATGTTATAGTTGACAACATGTGTCGACCTTATTAACAACAACATGCTTTAGCATTGATGTTCATGACATGAGTTAGCCCAGTTAGAGATGAATGATCTATGAGAAACATCTCATAGTTATTTTACTAATGAAAAATAAAGAAACAAATTGATTACTAAATGAAATTTGCACATAAAAACTTGGCGAACCAACACACACACACACACACACACACACACACACACACACACACACACACACACACACACACACACACACACACACACACACACACACACACACACACACACACACACACACACACACTCACACACTCACACACTCACACACACACACATATATATAAAGAGAGAGAGAGATTTTATGAGCTCTTTTTATATATAAAATATCGTATAAATAAATCAATGACAGTGACAGAAGAATTTTTTTAGCCAATTAATTAATAAATTAATGAGTGATTGTAGCACTCTTTCACATTACAAAAACTCCACATAAAACATGCTCTCACAATCCTTAGATTAGTTGGGGAAAGTTGTCTTCCAAGTATGGATTTAACTTTGCTTGATTGCTTTGGTTTTGTTGGTGTAATGACAGCAAGATAAGTAAAGAATAGATTTGAGCATCTATGCTTAATTAGCACTGAAGTATTTTTGATAAAACCATCCCTAAATTTGCTTACATATTGTCTAATATATTCACCATAATATTCCACAAGCAATGTAATGAGTAATCCACCGATAATTATTGGAACCATTACTTAAATATATGACTCTTAAGTAAATTCAAATATGAATTTAACGGTTAACTATTTTGCTCTTCAATTTACTTATTTTTGCTTAAAAGTAATGTACATTTAACTTTTGAATTAATACTTCAATTAACTTAAAGTAATATTTAAGTCTTGATTCAAATATTATTAGGTGGATTACATTTGCTTGTGGCCTATTACAATCAAAGTATTCAAGTAAACAAAATTGGAAAGGTTCGATCGACAAAATAAAGGTAAACTTGTTCTCTCAATTAAAAAGATGTAATTTTGATATATATATATATATATATATATATATGATATTAATTAGAACTCTAGTGATTGTCATAGAAATATGAATTACCAAAGCAGGAAAGGTCGATGATAGCACTAAAAAAAACAAATGTTAGATGATAGATGTCAATATTGTTATCGGGGGATAGAAAAAGATCATCATATTATGATGATTGTGAGATGAAAATCCATTATGAAGATTAAACAATGATAGTTAGGTAATGAGGAACGGATGACGACAATTTATAAGGATGTAATTGATTTAATCCACAAGGAACTCGCTTGAGCTCATTTGGCAAAATGTAGCTCTAACTCAAGCTCGATTTAAGTACTTGCAATTGTGCTCGAGCTTGAGTTGTTTAAAATTATTACTATTTGAGTTTGATTTGAGCTCAGCTTATTATCTAATTAAATGATTCATGTTGGACCTATCAATAGGCAACATTATTAAGTAGCTCATTAGTTATCTAAATAAGTCTTGTCAGGTCTATGAGCAATTTATGGAGCTTATAAATGAGATTTTAGTTGAATGAAATACTTAACAAACAAGCATACTAATGAGCTTCAACAAGTAGATAATGTTAGGATCCGAAAGCAATTTAATTTTAAAAAGGGACATTTACAAAAATACCACACAATTCTTATGTATTTACATAGATAGCATCTAAAATTTTATATTTATATTCATAACACTCAAAACATTAAGATTACATCAACATACCACAATTATTAATTTTTTTAAAGTGAAATGACCCTTTTCATGCAAAGGTTTAGGCGTTAGACAAGTAGATACATAAGAATTGTGTGGTATGTATGTAAATTTTCTTTCTAGAAAAAAAAAAATTCAACACTTTATCAAACAATCTGAGTGTTTTGGTGAATAAAAAATTTTTAGTTTATATACTTACATCAATATCTGTGCACGATTGATGATTTTTTTTGCAAAGTCACATACATACATACATACATACATACATACATACATA